GACCAAAACCAAAACGTCTGGGCTTCATATGTGGTTAATAATAAAGTGAAATTGATTTTACCTTTTCAATAGATTCCATGGACTGACATGCATTAATTGCAGTGTCATCTTTAGCTGCTTGCTCATAGATTTCTTTGTTAGTATGAAATTCCTCTGCCAATACACTAAACACATGATAGGCATTGGACAGAAATTAACCATTTTAAGTTCATACATGTACAGTTCAATGCAAAATAAATAATGTAATAAATAATTTAATAATGCAATAAATAATGTATCTGCTTGTGGTATGTTTCTATCAGATTTGTGAAGTCTATTGAACAAAATAAAACTCAATTTTAAATTGGTAATGTAAAACCACCAGATAAAGAATAAAAGGCTACCTGTCTAGTGGATCGTCAGCCTCTGGGAGTATCAGAAGTCCATATACAGCATCCAAGATCTCTCTCATAGTAACATCAGCTGAGTAGTTTCGATCAAATATGTTGTGGCAAATCCTTCCCACACTGTTGATGTTGCAATGGTAAATCTGTACTGCAGTTAAGGATTTTATAGAGTACAAAATGCTAGAGAAATACTTTTTTCTAGGGTGTTCTTTGCTCTACTCTAAATGTATTAACCAAAAACAGAAATCAATTTATGAAAATTACTGTGACACTACTAAGGCTCAAGGATACAGGAGTATAGAACCGTACAACAGGTGGCTTTACTGGATAATCATGGCCAAACTGACAATACAGCTCAAAGCTTCCATTCTCATAGGGGGTTTCTGGAGGTCCTTTCATGACAATCCTCCAAAAAGCTGAAATATATTTGAATGCAAGCGTCCTAGTTCAGTGTGGCCTCATGCCCCCAATTGTTTATTGTTCAATATTATTTATTTATTGATCAAATTATTCACAATTATTAACAAAAATTTCTAAATAGTTTAGGAATTATTGATACATTTTATGCATAAAAAAATCTAACAGCAGGAGAAATAGCATGAACTGTCTTAATTTGACCACTACATAAAAGCAGATTTAATCATACTTACTGAGGTCAGTTTCTGAGGGATACACAGAACAGTATGGATGGGGATCACAGTGAAGACTCTTCAGTTCTTCTAAGATCCGTTTATCTTTCTCCATGAAGCGACCTGACTTGGATTCCCGTATCTTCTTTTTTAGTACACTAATAAAGAATTTAATACTTAGAATACTTGGAACATCAATTCACATTTACTAGAATTAATTTAAGAAAAGAACCATATGAGTGTTTTCTGAAGTGATAACAATCATCAGACCAGTCATTATGTATCAGATTAAGTTATTATTTATTTTTGTGGCGGGCACAGTGACAATTTTTGCAGGGGAACCTGAACCATTAAAGAAAACAATTGGAAGTTATTTGAACTTTAAAATTTAGTTAAATTACTTTAGAAACATCCACTTGTGACCAAATTACATCAGTATAGAGTGGTGCAAGGATTAATTCAAGACTAATTCACCATGGGTTCCCTCAGTTGCATCCCAAATTATGCTCTTATACACTATGCATTTATGAACTATTTATATATACTATATGAAGTGCACTTTTTCTTTTCAGTGTGAACACACTACTCGCACTATTTATACTACAAAACGACATAGAATAGTACATAAGTACATAAATTGAGATGCTCCTCTCGAGATTTTCCTACGGGGTTTTATAATGGAAAATAAGTTCTGTGATAAAAATAACTTGACGATACTTTAATGTTTTGCTCTACAATGTAATTAGGGGTTCAAGCACGCAGTGCTGAAACCCTATTGTAATTGTTAGAATTTTTTTTATTATTATTATTTTTCTCCGCTAAAACTGATCGTGCAGACCAAACCGTAAGGCGTAGAGAGATGAAACTTGGCCAGAAGGTAGAGCTCCCTGAGGGGACATTCTGACAAAGACTCAGCCCAATCGGCCAATAGGGGGCGCTACAGCGATCAAAAACGCAAAAGCCTTCATAACCCCTACGCCGTTTGTCGTAGACTCACGTGTCTTATGTCATTGCATTCCTTGGCTCAATCAAAACAAAATGGCTATCTCCGATTTCATTTCCGTCTATAAAAATTTTCCGCCATTTTGATTTTTGTCCGAAACCTACTTTTGCGAACTAGTCCTAGGTTTTTCGCCTGATCGGAACCAAACCACTGCAAAAATATTCGGTGGACATTGAATATCAATAATTATCAAAAAAAAGTTGAAATTTCGATTTTTGTGCGAAACAGTTCGCCAAAAAGCGTCTATGCTAACGTTAGCCAAATATTATTTGAAGCATAACGCTTGAACGGAATGAGATATCTTCACCTTTGGTCAGATAAAAAAAATTGCACTGCTCTGCCACTTGGGGGTGCTATAAGACAGAAAAAAACATAAATTCAACTATAACTAGGCAACCGTTGGTCCGATCGGCTTGAAAATGGGTATGCAGTGTCATGGTCCAAAGTGGCACAGGTGACTATGAGGACATTCGCGTATCTCAAAAAACATGG